CCCCCCCACCCCCCCGGGGGGGGGGGGGGTTCAGGGATTTGAAAAAAAAAACTTTTTCTCAGAATTATTCACAACATATATAAATCGACTCAGTTTTTGCAGTACACATAACAATCGGATGCAAATACGATGTTTCCGCATATATTTTTTTATAATAGAATCACTGAAGAAAATAGCAATACTATTCATCATATTTTATAAAGTCTAATCGGTCATAATATTAAGAAAAACAGAATAATACCAGCCTACAGTGACAGTGTACTTAATACAATACTAAGTACTTCTATGGTTGATGATTTCGAAAATCTTAAGTACGTAGTACGTTTCAAACCTATCAGTACATTTTACTTGAAGCAGACAAATGTATTTAAAACCTGACAATAAATGCGCATATCACTAAATATTTTTAGTGCATACTTTAAGACCCTTTCTTCCACTTCTTATTGGGCATGCATCAGTATAGTCGGACTGAATATAGATTGTTTCCAAAGGTCAAATTAGCATGACTGGGTATGTTGTCAGTCTATTCTTGATAAGTCGACCCCCACACAGTCGGGCTGGGTACTGACCAACCATACTGGGTATCCAATCGGAGACTGGAATTGGTGCATCCCTACTTCTTATGTTATATTTAGATATGTTTTACTGTAATCTTTTTATGAAATTGAATAGTCCTTTATATTTGAGTTGCATCTACGAAAAATAATCTCGTTCACATATCTTAAATAAAAATTTTACATATTATTCTATTGTAAGTTTGTATTGAAAACGATAATGCAGTAAATAATATTGACGAAATGAAAAATTTTGAAATGAAATAAATATTATTTGACTTTAACACTTATGTGTAAGTAAGAACATAGAACTGATGTTGGTGGATTCGTTGATTAAGTCTGCTCTATAATAAACCGTAAGTGCAGAATATATATATTCATCTGAGGAAACACAGCCGAGTCGAAAAATTCCATAGTTGCTAACTATATCTATGTCTTCGGTCAAATATATATATAAACTTACCACCTTTTTTCGTAACTCATTCTATAAATTAATCACTTTTGAAGAATCTACTTTCTCTCTTCATTCTGTTTCTTTTACTTAAAAACATATATAAGAACTGCTTCATTTCATTTTTTATTTTTTCGTTCTTCATACTCTAAAACGATTCCAAGTATGAAAAAAGAAACAAAGAGATTTAATATTGTTATTTCAATTTGACATTGGGACGACACACACAGCTGCATACAAAGTAAGAAAAAAAACGTCATGTGTTAAAAGAAACGAGTAAGAATCATCAATACTGAAAATTTTGAATTTGTCTAAAAGAAAAATTTCAAGTTTTCCTATAGGAGGATTTTAAATTCACTTCTTCTATTCATATTTTTAAAGTTTTCATGTCTTGATTGGTATACTATAGAATAAAATTAAAATATCTTTGATATCCACAACAGATTCAATATCATATAAAAATAAACAAAGTAATTTACACTTAAATGCATGCTATGTTTTACAACTTAATTATATATTGCTTTTATCGTTCAGACTCATATTATCATGAGAGAACATTTCTATACATTACTTGATAATCATATCTTAAATTTAAATCACAAATTTCGAGATAAATTTTCTATAAAGCAATCATTGTATGATGATATAATATTGGTTCTTCGAGATGGTTGGGGAAATTCTCAATTCAAATTTTGGGTACATAAAAATTTTAAATTAATCAAAATTGGCAATGACAATATTGTATATGAAATTCAATCGAATCATCCAATTGTCACGTACGAACATTTATATACAAAAATCAAAGAATGCCATGAGAATGTTGGTCATCGTGGCCGAGACAAAACATGGATTCAAGTATGTGTTACAGATACAATTTTATCATTGAGTTACATAATATAGTTTCTTGTATTTCTTGTTATTTGAGGTAAAGAAACAATATGCATGGGTTCCAATGGATAGTGTCAAACTCTTTATTTCGCAATGTGACATATGTTCGAAGGGAAAAGCAATAGCAACATTTCCAAAACACTTACCTGGTACGATTAAGATTTATAATATGACCTTATATAACAAATGAACACATTCGTTTTGTCTTGTTTTTCTTTTCTATCTAAGAAAAATCAATTGTTTCTTATGAATATTTAACTCGTCTGCAAATTGATCTTATTGACATGCAAAATATGACAGATGGAGAATATAAATGGATCCTTCATACGAAAGATCATTTTACGAAATTTTCTTGGGCTTATCCGTTAATATGCAACGACACGAAATCAATTGCTGAAAAACTTCTACAACAATTTTATTTATTTGGATTACCACAAATTTTACAAAGTGTTCATGGGAAACAATTCGTTGCTAAAGTGATTAAGGTATTACACGCACATATACATTTTGTCTTACTTTCTTTCTCATATTGTACTATTCGAACGATTTCATTTACATTGAACAGATTTTGAAAAACACATGGACCGACTCCATTATTATTAATGGTCAAATCTGCCATCAGAAAACTCATGATTTAACAGAAGATGATGATAGTAATCAAACTTCATTTAAATCAACTCTTTTTAAATGGATGAAAGCAAATAATAGACATGATTGGTCAAATGGTAATTATAGCGATTTCTATATTAATGACTATTGAACACAAAAAGATTCTTCTTTTTTAGGTTTATTACAAGTAATTTTTTCAATTAATACTAGTTCAATTAAGTTAACCAACAATAAAACTCCATATGAATTTGTATTTGGTCAAAAACAAAACTATAATATAAAAATATTGCAGATTTTATCAAATCATGATTATTTGGATATAGAAAATCTTCCATGCAGTTTTATTGATGAGTTGAAAAAATCCACACATCTATTGAATTTTGTTCAAAATACTAATTATTCCAATGATAGTATATCATCAAGTCCGTCAAATCATGCGCTTCAAGCAATATCAAAGTCATCCTTATCAATACAATCACCCAGAATAAAATATCATGCTTCTTCTAATATATCTACTAGTACGAAAAAAAGACGACGACTCACATCAAATTCAAACGAAGAGATTAACGTATTCGATGAAGGTAAAATGATCAGACATACCAATATACCCTATTGAAAGATAATATACTCTATATCAATTCTTTTGTTTTGTTTAGACAAACAATCTAATGATAATAATAATAAAAACACTGATTTAATCAACAATCATCAACAAGTACAACCGAAAACTAATGAAATCGTCTATATGACTAAAGGACAAAAGTTATTTAATAATACATCATATAAACATGAATATAAGGTTGGTGATATAGTTGGTGTAATCATTGACAAAATCGAAACAGTCAACATTGAACTTAAAGTGTTAGCATGTAAAATATTATCCATCGAGCTGGTAGCAGAAGATACAAATGCCTATCAATTATGTACAAAAGCATGTATAATTTCTTCAAGATTTCAAGCATCTGATCTATTGAATTTATGTAATTGTAATTTTATTGATCTGCTTACTGTCGATCCAACTCATCTACCAAAGCTGACATTTAATGAAGCCTGTAAAAGCTTATCTTGAATGTGAACGATATTATCTAATGACACATTATTGAAGAATACATATGTGTAGTGGAACTAATTCGATCAAGAATTTTTATTCCTGAGTAACAATAACTAAATAATACAACAAAATCCATTTTTTATCTATCTAGTTTTATTTTATGTACATTGGCTTTTCAAAAATACAATAAACAAAGCAACTAGACACTCATAAGAAAAATTTCAAATTCGTCTATAGGAAAAATTGAAAATTTTAATTTACTCTAGGTAAACTTGAAAATTTCAAGTTGTCCTTAACAGAATCTAGTAAAAATTGAAAATTTTAATTTACTCTAGGTAAACTTGAAAATTTCAAGTTGTCCTTAACAGAATCTAGTAAAAATTGAAAATTTCATCTTCTCCTAGGATAAATTAAAACTTTCTGTTTTTCCTTTCTTTTCATACACCTTACTTCAAATATGATTTATAATTCCGCGAAAAATAACGTCATAACAATGTGCACTTTAGCACTTCACCTGTATACACAAATAAACAATTCGAATTCATTAAAAATAAGAGGCCTTCTCATACTGAATCATTGTCATTCGTTAGTTGTTGTGTAGAACTATGAATCAAAAGAAAAACATAAGAGCTTATTCATAAAG